TCCCTGAGTACCCCTGGGTGTGGCCCCAAAACCAAAACCAAAAATTCAGTGATTATGAAAGATGGTTACTCATGGAATACAAATAACCAAGGCAAAGAAAGTGGGAACAGCAAATACCAACTAATCTAATTTAGTGAAAACTCTGTGCTATGGCTTCGGCCCCTGAGATTTGCTATTTTCATCTTAAAAAAAAAAAAACTAAGATCAGAGATGTGATAATGTGGCAAGAGATTTAGAGACTTGGAAGGGAGACAAATACACCAAGCAGGAAAAGGAAACAAGATTGCATCATTAGATTTGCAACCTGGTCTGTTGGGAACAGACAATGGCCAAGAAAATCCTGCCTGTTGCCCAGACCAGAGTCCCACAGGGAAATCAGGTGCTTTAAGGTTGGAAAGAGGAAAGCATCTCCTGTGCCGATGCAAGGAGCTTTAAATGTTTCCGTCTGATTGTTGGGACCTTGTCCTGGAAGAGACACAATTTCCTTTCTTGTTTGAAAATGCTGATTCTGCCTGGGGAAATGAGGTTCCATTTGCTGTCCAGGGAGGAGTTCTGAATTCTACGGAGACCCTCGACTCCAGGTTCCCATCCAGGTGAGTGTGGTAGACCAGTTGTCTCTGAGGTAGACCAGTTGACTCTAAGGTAGACCCTTTGAGAGACTGGAAGCTCAGTACCTGGAATTGTGGTCACTCAGAGTCAGTGCAACTCAACCCAGAGGGAAGGAATCACTCTGAGTTTTTCTGAGTTGTTTGTTCAACGGGCTGGAGCTATAGCACAGAGGTAGGGCATTTGCCTGGCTAGCGGCCAACATGGCCGACCCGAGTTCGATTCCTCCGCCCCTCTCGGAGAGCCCGGCAAGCTCTCAAGAGTATCTCGCCCACACAGCAAAGCCTGGCAAGCTACTCGTGATGTATTTGATATGCCAAACACAGTGACAAGTGTCACTATGGAGAAGTTACTGGACCTGCTCGAGCAAATCGATGAACAAAGGGAGGACAGTGACAGTGACAGTTTGTTTAACGAGTGTATTTATTTTAGCAGCTACATAAAAGCTCACAGGACCACTGTGGTACCCACACGTTTGTTGCTCTTTCATGCTCACGATCATTACACGGCTCTTATAGCAAAACTGAGGTAGTCAGGTCTAAGTTGTGATCTAAGTGGAGAGGTTTTGTCTAACAGGAGCACGGGACAATTAATTTCCAAAGATATTTCTGACTGTCTCCATGGAGAGAGAGTACATGCGACCATGCACATTTCATCACCCTACACTGCTTGGTCCTGACCCTGCCACATAGGATTTTGTTTCAGAATGTCAATGATTTCAAGACTGAGAATTACTGAGATGCCACAAATTATATTTTGGGACTTGTAGTCATCACTCCAGAGCCCGCATAGCAGAGCCTGGCAAGCTCCCCGTGATGTATTCGATATGCCAAGCACAGTAACAACAAAGTCTCCAATGGAGACGTTACTGGGCCCTCTCGAGCAAATCGATGAACAACGGGAGGACCGTAACCGTGATTTAGTCATCACTGCTGTGATCAGGGCTTACTCCGGGTCTGAGCTCAAGGATCACTCCTGGTGGGGCTTGAGGTGTGGGTGGGTTCCCTGTGGTGGTGTGTTAGGGATTGAACACAGTTCAGCTGCCTGTGAAGCAAGCACCCTCCCCCTGTATTACTTTTCTGGTCCAAGAAAAAAAATATTTTGGTCATACTTATGACTTTTCTTGGTTATTTCCCAACACTTGCAGCATTTTGCTTTTCTGCCCCCCTCAAGAAAGAGTACTCCCTTTGCTGTATGTACTTTGGAAAGTTCTTCAGATTAACAACAGGGTTCTTTTTTTCCCCTCCTAGCCTGATATTTGTGAATGGTGTTGCTTGCTTTCCTAACTGGCATTCTCTTTCAGCTTAAAGTAAAGTAAAGGCCCTCCCGTTGATCATCGATTTGCTCGAGCGGGCCCAGTAACATCTCCATTGGAGACTTTGTTGTTACTGTGTCTGGCATATCGAATACTCTCGGTAGCTTACCGGGCTCTCCGAGAGGGGTGGAGGAATCGAACTCGGGTCGGCCATGTTGGCTGCATGCAAGGCAAACGCCCTACCGCTGTGCTATCGCTTCAGCTTGGTGCACACAATTCATCACTATTATGACTTGCCTTCCATTGTCTGCTCACATATTTTTCCATTTCTCCAGTCACCAGATTTTAAATGTTTCTGTAGATGTCCATTTCCTTATGGAGTTTGGAGGATATATATATAATATAAATAATAACATATATAATTATGTTTTATATTTTTATTTATTATATATTATAGTCATACACTATTGAATCACCATGAGATATACAGTTACAAAGTTGTTTATGGTTGAGTTTCAGTCATACAATGTTCTAACATCCATTCCTTCCCCAGTGCACTTTGCTCACCATCAATACCCCCGGTTTCCCTCCTGCCCAGCACCCCCTTCCTGCAACCCCCACTCTGTCCTGACAGCCTGCCTCTATGGCAGACATTTCTTCTTCTTCTCTTTCTCTCTTATTTTCCTTTCAGGCACTGTGGTTTGCAATAATGTTACTGGGAGGGGATCATGCATATCACTTTCCTTCCTTTCAGCATTCAGTTCCTGTTCAGAGAGATCCTTTCCAACTCTCATTGTCATAGTGGTCCCTTCTCTCTCCTAACCTCACTCCCCCTCTCCTTTGGTGGCAAGTTTATGCTTCCTACCATGGATCATGCTTCCTCTCGGCCCTTGTTTCCTACTGTCTTTGGGTATTATTCATATCACTTTTTAAAATCTTGCAAATGAGTGCAGTTATTCTATTTTTCTCTTTTCCTCGGACTGATTTCACTCAGCATGATATTCTCCATGTCCATTCATTTTTGAAGGTAAAATTTCTGGTTTATTGAACTGTTTAACTCTCTTCATCCCTCCAAGTTTCTCTCTATATTTAAGAAGTTTTTACCACTAGCCCATTTCCTGGGTCTTTCTCTTGTCATTCATCTAAAATGTGGTGATTTCTCTTAAGCAGAGGGCACAATTCCTCTGATTGTAGCATGTTTAAGGAGTGTAAAAATTTCAATTCTTTTTTTGGTTACACCTGGCATTGCACAAGAGTCACTCCTGGCTCATGCACTTCGGAATTACCCCTGGTGGTGCTCAGGGGACCGTATGGGGTGCTGGGAATTGAACCTGGGTCGGCTGCATGCAAGGCAAACACCCTAACTGCTGTGCTATCACTCCAGACCCTACACTATTCCTTTTTTTCATGAGGTGCAGTTGTAGACTTACAAACTCTCATGCTTGGGTTTCAGTTATACAATGATTGAGTACCCATCCCTTCACCAGTGCTCATTCTCTACCACCATGATCCCAGTAGCCCCCCATCTCCCATCCCACCCATCCCACCCTTCCTCTGTGGCAGGACATTCCCGTTTGCTCTCTCTTTCCTTTAGGGTGTTGTGGTTTGCAATAGAGGTATTGAGTGGCCATCGTGTTCAGTCTGTAATCTACTTTCAGCACACAGACGCATCCTGAGCTAATCCTCCAAACACCCTTTACTTGGCCTACATTATTCCTTCTAATTTTTTTAAATTTAATTTTTAATTGAGGGAGTGTAAAATTCCATATTTTTTAGCTAAATAGCATTTACACTATTCCCTTTAATTTTTCTATTTAATTTTTAATCGAATCACAGTGAGTTACACAGTTACAAAGTTATTCATTATTGGTTTCAGTCATATAATGTTCCACAACCTGTCCTTTTACCAGTGTACTTTTCCTACCATCAATGACCCCAGTTTCCCTCCCCCAACCAGGCTGCCTCTATGGAAAACATGTTCCTTCTTTCTCTCTCCCTCCTTTTGAGCATTATGGTTTGTTATACAGGTACTGAGAGGTAATCGTGTTTGCTCCTTTATCTGCTTCCAGCACACAGATCTTATCCAGGGCGATCATTTACAACTATAATTGTCAGTGGTCCCTTCTCTATCCCAGCTGCCTTCTCCCTCAGCACTGAGGCAGGCTTCCAAATGTGGACCAATAAATTGTTGTATCTCATGATGGAGACATTACATCCTTGTATGAGAGATTAGTAAGATGTCATTACAGGTGAAGCCTCTGTGTTCATCTTGTTAATCAAGATTGGTTGCCTTCTCCCATTTGATGTGTAACTACTGGTTTGTTGGGGAACAGATTTTCCCCAAGGTACCTGGACAGGTTGGGCACCAGGTTGAGGCAGGCATGGGGCGAAGGGTGATGGGTGCGAGGAGAAATACCCTCCGGGAGCAGCTGATGGCTATTCACTTTATTGCCAAATACATACATTTTTATAGATGTTCTTGTCTTACAGGAAGGTCCAATCACATAAAGTTCAGCATTATTGGTCTATCACCTTTCCTCTTCTGCTTTGCAATCTCATTCAAGGCTAGATGCTATGGTTAGGATGACGCGCTAAGCCTACGTGACAGTTTCTGTGTCTTTGGCACATGTGACTAGGAGGTTGAGTGAGGCTCAGGGCTGAACACTGTGTGCTGACACCCTGTTCTCGCCAACTTTTGCCCGATACTCCTTCCTCTGGAGTCTCGCTTCAGGACCGCTTTGCAAGGTCAGGTCTTATCTGCGCCAGTGCCCGTTGCCAGGCTCCACACTGGCTTATCAATGTTGTTTCATTGAAGACCCAACAACGTTCTTGACTAGAGCTTGCAGCTTCTGTGGCACTGTTTCCACTTATCATGATGTTCCAGAATAGCGTTATGCCACTTGTGCCAAACTTGTGTGCAATTTTTTTTGGGTCACACCTGATGATGCACAGGGGTTACTCCTGGCTCTGCACTCAGGAATTACTCCTGGTGGTGCTTGGGGGACCATATGGGATGCTGGGAATTGAACCCGGGCTGGCCGCGTGCAAGGCAAATGCCTTCCCCGCTATGCTATTGCTCCAGCCCCCTTGTGTGCAAATTAATCTATGCCGTCACCCTTCCTGCCAGCTGTCTCCGCACATGGAACCAGGGAATGCCACAAGAGTTTCACAATATCATTTGCTGGGATTTTCCGTGGAGCCGGAGCTGCAGCCCCTCATCTCTGGACTTTTCCTGTCCATGTATCTGATCAACGTGTTTGGGAACCTGCTCCTCATCCTGGCCGTCAGCTCGGACCCCCACCTCCACACGCCCATGTACTTCTTCCTGGCCAACCTGTCCTTTGTGGACATCTGTATCACCTCCACCATCATCCCCAAGATGCTACAGAATATTCAGACACACAGCAAGGCCATCAGCTATGAGGGCTGCATCATGCAGATTTACTTCTTCATACTTTTCGGAGGCCTGGACATCTTCCTCCTGACGGTCATGGCCTATGACCGCTACGTGGCCATCTGCCACCCCCTGCACTACACGGTCATCATGAACCCCCGACTGTGTGGGCTGCTGGTCCTGGTGTGCTGGGTCATCAGTGCCCTGCAGTCTCTGTTACAAAGCTTAATGTTGTTACGTCTGTCCTTTGGTGCCGATGTGGAAATCCCTCACTTCTTCTGTGAGCTCCATCAAATCCTCCAGCTTGCCTGTTCTGATACTTTCCTTAATACCTTGGTCATGTATTTGGCAGCTGTCCCACTGGGTGCCGGGTCCTTTGCTTGTATCATTTACTCCTACTCAAAGATCGTTTCATCCGTGCAGAGAATCTCCTCAGCTCAGGGGAAGTACAAAGCGTTTTCCACCTGCGTGTCTCACCTCTCCGTGGTCTCTGTGTTTTATTCGACGCTCCTAGGCGTGTACCTGAGCTCAGCCGTGACCCAGAGATCTCACTCCAGTGCCGTCGCCTCGGTGATGTACACAGTGGTCACTCCCATGCTGAACCCCTTCATCTACAGCCTCAGGAACAAGGACATCAAGAGGGCTGTGGTGGAGTTATTTTTCAAGAAATCTATAAAAGGCTCAATTGTCCTGGGGTTGAAAAAATGCCCTAATCGTGTTATTGAGAACCTCAAAGCATGACGTTTTATTAATTTGACCACTTACATGGATGAATTAAGCACATCTGTAATTGTGCTAGAAATGATACCAACTGTGTAGAAATGATACCAACACTCTACTTTTGAAAGTCTATATTATTATTATTATTTTAATTAAACAGACATAGGTTTAATTTTTGGGTCTCTCACCTACTACTTCTATGTCTCTATATAATTTTCTACATAAACATCCTTCTTTTTAAAAATTTTTTTATTAGTGAGACATCATGAGGTACAGTTGTAGACTTACAAATCTTTGTGCTTGGGTTTCAATTATATAATGATCAAATACCCATCCCTCCATCAGTGCCCATTTCCCACCATCACGGATCCCAGTATCCCTCCCACTCCCCATCTCCCCCATTCCACCCTGCCTCTGTGGCAGGGCATTCCCTTTTGTTCTCTCTCTCTTATTAGTTGTTGTGGATAAACATCCTTCTTAAAAATTTTATTTATTTATGTATTTATTTACTTCTTTATTGAATCACTGTGAGATAGACCCTTACAAAACTGTTAATGATTGGATTTCAGTCATACAGTGTTCCAACACCCATCCCTCCACCAGTGAACATTTCGCAGTACCAGTGTCCTCAGGTTCCTTTCCATCACCCCCCACCCCCAACCCCCTGCCTGCCTCTATAGCAGGCACTTTTCTTCTCTCTCTCCCTCTGTCTCTCTCTGTCCCTCTTTCTCTGTCTCTCTGTCTCTGTCTCTCTGTCTCTGTCTCTCTCTCTCTCTTTCTCTGTCTCTCTCTCTCTCTCTCTCCTGAAAGTCTATATTCTTGTCGAGTCTTCAGAAATCTGGCATGAAGTTGACACAGCTCAATGGACATCCAATTTTTATTTGGTTTGAATTTGGATTTTGTTTCAGTTAAGAAAGGGAGGTTCCCATAGCTTAGAGGCCAGCCGGGAATTCTAGGGGAAAGGGCAGCTCAGATAGAGAAGGGAGCACCAAATAAAGGGTGTTTGGAGGATCCTCCCAGGAGGGGAGATGCATGTTGAAAGTAGACTATGGACTGAACATGTTTGCCACTCAAAGCCTCTTTTGCGGACCACGACACCCCAAAGGAGAGAGAGAACACAGGGAATTGCCCTGCCACAGAGGCAGGGTGAGATGGGAGGGATGGGGGTGGGAGGGATATTATCCATGGTGGTGGAAAATGGGCACTGGTGGAGGGATGGGTATTTGATCATTGTATCGAAACCCAAGCACAAAAAATTGTAAATCTACAACTGTACCTCATGGTGTTTCACTAAAAATAATAAAAAAAAAAGAAAAAAAAAGAAAGGGAGATTCAACTGGGTGTTTGCCCAAATGTCTGAGTTGCCTAAATAAGAAATCAAATGGATTTTTTTTTGTTTATTGCAAAGATTTTCAAGGCAAGGATATAACTATGTTAACTGAATTCTTTTGACTATAAAGGTAAAAAAATCATTGGACTTTAAGGCTTAATACTCAGGACCTTCCTTAATGTGGACTACATAAAGCCAAGGCAGCAAACTAATTCTGGTTTCTTGAGGGGAAGGGGGAAGGAATCTGAAGATTGGGTGCAAAGTCATAATGAGTGACATCAGACTTATGGGATAGGTTTAGATTGACGTATACACACAGAGGTGTGAAGCACTTGTGACAATCCATGTATAGTAAACTAACAGGAAATCAGTAAACTTTGCTTTTCCCCTTTTTTCTTTTGTGGGATGGGTCACACCAGGTTATGCTTAAGGGTTATTCCTGGCTCTGCACTCAGATTACTCCTGGCTGTGCTCAGGGACCATATGGGATGCCGGGGATTGAACCCAGGTTGGCTGCATGCAAGGCAAACACCCCACCCGCTGTACTATCACTCTGGCCTGAAATCAGTAAATTTGATTAAAAATCAATGGAGAAATAAATAGCAGTACTCCTATGTTTAAAAAAAGAATCAATGGAGAGACTACTGTGAGCAGTATAACTGATACCCCTATTAATCAAAAACTCACCTCCTTCCTAATACGTAAAAATGCTCAATGGAAAATAGTACAGTTGATGAAAATGGCTTTCATTTCTTGGGTCAAAGAATGCAGCAAAAAGAATAAAAACTTACAAAAACCACAAATGCAGCCATTATGGAGGTGCCTTTTCATAGAGAACAAAACAAAAGCAGAACTTGTGTAGATGTATTACAACAGAGAGCGAACAAATAAAGCAAATAAACATTTAACTTTAAGGGCAATGCAGAAGTGCAAGGTAAAGTCCCTCACACACTACTTAGATTTATCAACTACAATTTCTTCATGTGACCATCTAGAGTTGAAACAGGATTTAAAAAAAAATTTATTAGTGAAACACCATGAGGTACAACAGCTGTAGACTTACAAATTTTTGTGCTTGGGTTTCAGTTATACAATGATCGAGTACCCATCCCTCCACCAGTGCCCACTCTCCACCACCACTGATCCCAGTATCCCTCCCACCCCCCAACCCCCCATCCTACCCTGCCTCTGTGGCAGGGCATTCCCTTTTGTTCGCTCTCTCCTTTTGGGTGTTGTGGTTTTCAAAAGAGGCATTGAGTGGCATTCATATTCGGTGTATAGTCTACTTTCAGCATGCATCTCCCATCCTGGGAGGATCCTCCCAACACCCTTTACTTGGTGCTCCCTTCTCTATCTGAGCTGCCTTTCTCCTAGCGTGTGCAGCTGGCCTCCAAGCCATGGAGTAAACCTCCTGGTACCTATCTCGGCTATACTTGGGTGTTAGTCTCCTATTTTGTTACTTTATGTTACCCAGATGAATGAAATCTTTCTATGTCTGTCCCTTTCTTTTTGACTCATTTCACTGAGCATGATACTTTCCATGTAGTACCACTTGTATGTAAATTTCATGACTTCATCTTTTCTAACAGCTACATAGTACTCCATTGTGTAGATGTACCAAAGTTTCTTTAACCAGTCATCTGTTCTTGGGCATTCAGGTTTCTTCCAGTTTCTGGCTATTGTAAAGAGTGCTGCAATGAACAAACAAGTGCAGATGTCACTTCGACTATACATTTTTGCCTCTCTGGGATATATTCCCAGGAGAAACAGGATTTGTTGAGGGGACTGCTCCCTGGATATTTTTTTTTTCGATGAATTTTCTTTTATTAGTGAAACACCATGAGGTACAGTTGTAGGCTTACAAGTTGTGCTTGGGTTTCAGTTATACAATGATCGAGTACCCATCCCACCACCAGTGCCCATTCTCCACCCCCACCATTACCAGTATCCCTCCCACCCCCCATCCCCCATCCCACCCTGCCTCTGTGGCAGGGCACTCCCTTTTGTTCTATCTCTGGTTTGGGTGCTGTGGTCTGCAGAAGAGACATTGGGTGAGGCCGTGAAACAGTCCAGACTCTTCACTGAAGTGACGCCTGACATTGATTCGTTTTTTATCTCCTCTGCCCCTCTTGGAGAGCCCAGCAAGCTACCGAGAGCATCTCACTCGCTCAGCAAAACCTGGCAAGCTACCTGTGACATATTCAATATGCCAAACACAGTAATAAGTCTCACAATTTGTTATGAGATGTTACTGGTTCCCGCTCAAGCAAATTGATGAACAACGGGAGGACAGTGCTACAGTGCTACATTATTTTGATATCTTATTATTACCCTTTTTTTTGGAAACAGAAAAATTTATTGAAAAGTAGAAGGGAAAGGAAGAGATACTCCTCAGCCAGGGAGGAACTTAGTATAAGATTAAGTTGACATTATTTTACTATTTTATTATTTTTTAAATTTTATTTATTTTTTATTTAATTTATTTATTTTATTTTTTACTTCAAGAATCTAGCTTTATTTTTATTTCATATTTTTTATTTTTATTTCAAGCATCTAGAGTTCCTACACCACCAGTGTGACCTTCCCTCCACCAATATCTCCAGTTTCTCTCCCAATCCCAATCTATCCCCTTAGGCAGATAACAAATTTACTTTATATTGCTTATTCCAATAAAACTTTGAGAAACGACAAATAGAGTGATCAGAAAATAAATCAGTAAGAGCCAGTTTGTGATTATTATATGATTTTTTTTTTAGCCATGCCTAATGATGGTCGGGGATCATTCCTGATGGGACCATATGGGATGTTTGGGTTTGAATCCAGATCTCTGCCTTCCCCTCTGCCCTGTCGTTCCAGGCCCATATTTTACATTTTAAAGTTAATGAAATTTATTATTTGCTCCCAACCTCCAAACAGTCTCTCAAAATTCCTTTCAATATGATGCAAAAATGAGTCTGTGTTCTTATATATGTATGTGTGCATGTTTATTTAAAATTTAAGATCATAGTGAGAAACAGATATACATGCTTGCCAAAATAGGTCAACATTTTTAATTTAACTTAGATACATGTGTTTATAACTATTTTGCCAATGACTAAGAAAGGTACTGGGGACACTGCGTTGAAAAGCAGAATCCTGATGAAGAGAATAAAAGTCAATAACCAGCAATAAACCCACATAAATGATAGTCTCTATTACTCAGGAAGTACATGAAAAGAGAATGAAATACAGAGGCATCACCTACACAAAGGGACAAACAGTTATCAGGTAGTTTCAATAATAAAATAGAATTGATGCTCAGATCTTTATGTTTCCTTTTGGGTCACACCCGGCGATGCTCAGGGGTTCCTCCTACCTCTGCAATCAGGAATTACTCCTGGCGGTGATTAGGGGACCATATGGTATGCCGGGGATCAAACCTGGTTTGGCTGCATGCAAGGCAAACGCCCTACCCGCTGTGCTATCACTCCTGCCCCAATGCTTAGATCATGGAGCATAATTATTTCATATATATGAGTGATACAACTCATATTAATTCTTAAATTTTTCATTATTGCTAATGCATTGTTTTTACATTATACAATTCTTACATCATAATTCTTACGTTATAAGAGTGGCAATTCTTATAGGAAAACAAAATAGGATTAAAAATATACATCACTTCACTGGTGGAGGGATGGGTACTCGATCATTGTATAACTGAAACCCAAGCACAAAAATTTGTAAGTCTACAACTGTATCTCATGGTGTTTCACTAATAAAAATTTAAAAAATATATACATCACTTGAGAAACAATATTCCAAACCTCCCTGTTTGCTTATGGGTTAATGAGAATCCTTCAGTGTTTCTGAGCCATGACCAAAAATCATTTTGGAAAAGAAGAGAAAAAAAAGCAATGGGAAAAAGCAGTGGCTATTATAGAACTTAATAAAAGGATGAAGAACATAAATTAAATAGAGAATTTAAAGATCAAAAAATGAGGAATCCCTGGATATAAATAAAAGGGACAGTTCTACTTCATTTTTTAGGAATTTTTGTTTTGCTTTGGGTCACACCTGGTGATGCTCAGGACTGACTCCTGGCTCTGTGCTCAGGGATCACTTCTGGCAGAGTTTGGGGACCCTATGGGATGCGGGGGTCAAACCTGGTTCCAGGATGTGCAAGGCAAGCGCCCTCCCGCTGTGCCATCTCTCTGGCTCCCAGTTATACTTCTTTTTGATCAAATAATCACAATTTCTGACTCTGAGGTTTTGTGGGGTTTTTTTTTTGGGCTTTTTGGGTCACACCCGGCGATGCAGAGGGGTTACTCCTGGTTCATGACCTCAGGAATTACTCCTGGCAGTGCTCGGGTAACCATATGGGATGCTGGGAATCGAACCCGGGTTAGCCGCATGCAAGGCAAACGCCCTACCTGCTAGGCTATTGTTCCAGCCCCTGACTCTGAGGTTTTGAACACAGAATTTATGGACATTTCTTCAGTCTTCGAACAATCGCTCCTTGTTGAAAGTCCTTCAGAAAGTATGCCACGAGAGCCCTCTTAATGTCTTTGTTCCTGAGGCTGTAGATGAAGGGGTTCAGCATGGGGGTGACCACCGTGTACATCACTGAGGCGACAGCACTGGAGCGCGCGCTGTGGGGAAGAGCTGAGCTCAGGTACACCCCGAGGACAGTGCAGTAAAACAAGGAGACCACGGAGAGGTGAGAGGCGCAGGTGGAGAAGGCTTTATACTTCCCCTGCACGGAGGACATTCTCCGGATGGAGGATACGATCTTAGAGTAGGAATAAAGGGTGCCAGCAAAAGGCCCAGCGCCCAGGAGCACAGCGATGGAATACATCACCACGGTATTAATGAAGGTGTCAGAGCAGGCAAGTTGCAGAATCTGATTGAGCTCACAAAAGAATCGAGGGATTTCCCAATCTGTACAGAAGGAGAGTCGTAATACCATGAGACTTTCTAACAAGGAATTCAGGATGCTTATGATCCAGCACACTAGGACCAGCTGTCCACAGAGCCGGGGGTTCATGATGACCGGGTAGTGCAGGGGGTGGCAGATGGCCACAAAGCGGTCATAGGCCATCACCGTCAGGAGAAAGATATCCAGGACTGCAAAGAGAACATACAAACCAATCTGCAGAATGCATCCTTCAAAGGTGATGACTTTGCTGTGTGTCTGGATGTTCAGTAGCATCTTGGGGACGGTGGTGGAGACAAAGCAGATGTCCACAAAGGACAGGTTGGCCAGGAAGAAGTACATGGGCGTGTGGAGGTGGGGGTCTGAGCTGACCGCCAGGATGAGAAGCAGGTTCCCCAGCATGGTGATCAGATACATCGACAGAAACACCCCAAAGATGAGGGGCTGCAGCGCTGGTTCATCTGACAATCCCAGCAGCAGAAACTGTAAAACTTCTGTAGTGTTTGCCAGTTCCATGGATAGAGATAACTACTGGAAAAAAAAAAGAAACGGACAATTTTCACACTAACTGGCAATACTCTCAGGTTATATATAGGACCATACCTGGCGATGCTCAGGGTTTACTCCTGGCTTTGCTCTTTAATCACTTCAGGTGATGCTCAGGGGGAATCGAATCAGGGTCTACCACATGCAAGGCAGGAGCCTAACCTGTTGTATTATCACATCTGCCTCTATTCCCATATTTGAAAGAATGTAGTTTATTATGTTCAGTTAGGAGATAATTTTGTATTTCCTCTGTTTTATTCCTCTTTTGATCTTCCTGATGCCACCTTCAAATTGTTTTTTTTCTTTCTTTTCTTTTTAGCCAATAGTCATTTTCAATATCTCCTGTAGGATAGATACATACATTGAATACTGACCATGTTTTTTCTTTTTCCTTTTTGGTTCAAACCTGGAGATGCTCAGGGGTTGCTCCTAGCTCTGAACTCAGGAATTACTCCTTGTGGTGCTCAGGGGACCCTATGGGATGCCAGGGATCGAACCTGTGTTGGCCATGTACAAAGCAAATGCCCTACCTGCTGTGCTATCGCTCCAGCCCATGATGGCCATTCTTTTCCCACCTATGTGGGATGATGGAGTCCAAAAGTCACTACATTCCCCATGATGGAGAAAAAAATAGAGAAGAATGCAATAATAAACTGTAAAATTATGTTATAACAGGTCTATGGAGGAAAGGCAAGCAGGAATAAGAGAGAATAAACAGGGTATTGTGTTTTACTTAAGCAGCGTGTCCAATGCAGGCTGTTTGATTAGAGATCTGAACTGAGAGAGGAAAGAAGACACAGGACGTGGAGGGGAGTGGGTGTCTGTGTTAACAACAGCCAGTCAGAGCCCCAAGGGAGGGGCTTGCTTCAAAGGCTCACAATGAATCCAGTGATTCTTGCTGAAGTTGAACTTTTCTTTTTTAATTAAATCACCGTGAGATACAGTTACAAGCTTTCATGTTTGAGATTCAGTCATACAATGATCCAACACCCATCCCTCCACCAGTGCACATTTTCCACCACCAATGTTCCCAGTATCCCTTCCTCTTCCCAGCCCTCCCCGTCTCTATAGCAGACAGTTTCCCTCATACTCTCTCTCTACTTTTGGGCACTATGGTTTGCAGTCTAGATACTGAAAGCCTTACGTTTGGTCCTATATCTGCTTTCAGCACACATTTTCCATCTCAACGATTCCTCCGGCTATCACTTAGTGATCCCTACTCTATCCCAACTGCCTCCTCCCCAAGCTCATGAGGCAGGCAGTTGAATGTTTTTGAAGGCAGGGATTGATAGATGCAATAGAGCTGGGGATGGCTGAAAAGGAGAGAGAGGAGAAAAGAGGACAGAGTACTGAGTACAAGACACTAACAATGTAATACGTTTGGGACTTTGCATTGATCTATGTTAATATATGATTTCATGCTATTTTGTATAACAAGAGAGATTTCATAGCATTTTTTTGATTGCTAGATCAGTATGAAGATACATGATCTTCTTGCCATGAGCATGGTCATCTGTTGACCTCTCCAATGAAGTAAACTTGAGAATCAAAATTAAATTGCATTAATTAAATTTAATTAAATTAAATAAAAGGGGGGACAGAGAAAGAGATGAAATGGATCAGTATAAAGATGGTACCCAAAAGAATGAATTAAAAAAAATGACAACATTGAAACTTTCCTGGCAAACCCCCCCGTTCAATTGTTGTAAATTTGCCGTGTGTGTGTGTGTGTGTGTGTGTGTGTGTGGTGGGTTGGGGGAGTTCTGTGAAGGGCAGTTAGGATAGAGAAGGGATCAGAATGACAATGATAGTTAGAAATGATCACTCTGAACAAGAAATGAGTGTTGGTTTTTTTTTTTCTTTTTGGGTCACATCCAGCGATGCTCAGGGGTTACTCCTGGCTCTACACTCAGGAATTACTCCTGGCAGTGCATGGGGATTGAACCCAGGTCGGCCACATGCAAGGCAAATGCCCTACCTGCTGGACTATCGCTCCGGTTCCAAGAACCGAGTATTGTAAGTAGGTAAAAGGATATACATGATAACCTTTCAGTAACTGTATTGCAAACAATAATGCCCAAAAGAAAAGAAAGAGAAGAGAGAGAGAGAAGAGAAAGAGAGAGAGAGAGAAGTGCCTGCCACAAAAGGGGGGCAGGAGGGAAATTGGGAATATATGGTAGAAAATATACACTGGTGAAGGGAAAGTGTTGGAACATTATATGACTGAAATCCAATAAGGAACAAATAAACAATTTTGTAACTGTGTATCTTACTGTGATTCAATTAAAAAAAACTCTTGAAAAGTCAACTGAGAAACCTTTATCTATAGAAATAATTTGAATTATGATAACGGCAGAGAGCAGGTAAATTTTGGACAGATGCACAAATAAGAAAGTGACCAGCTACATATACTTAGCTGAAACTGAGCAACAGTAAGAAAACAAGCAATGTCATTCTAGAAAAAAAACATAAAGAGCTGAGTTGGTTATACAAAACTTTACAAACTACTAAAAGGGTCATTCTCCATATAAAAAAATTTATTTTTAAGTCTTATTATTTACTTATTTAATTTTATTTTTGCTTTTTCGGTCACATCCAGTGATGCTCAGGTGTTCTCCTGGCTCTGCACTCAGGAATTACTCCTGGCGGTGCTCGGGAGACCGTATGGGATGCTGGGGATCTTACCTGGGTAGGCCACATGCAAGGCAAACACCCTATTCACTGTCACTCCAGCCCCTAACTTTATTTACGATGGGAGTCGGGTGAAGGTCTCACAGAGTCATCCTCATCCCAGGAGTGTCTGAGGAGGTCGAGACTGGGGGGCTGTTATCATGGATGGGTGAGGGACTCAGCACCCCAATAGCACCCAGGGATGACCCCCCCCAGAGCCAGAGATGGTCGGAACAGGGTCAAGGGGGGCCAGGCTGGGGGTGTACTGAGAACTCTCACACATTCACAAGCTAAATAACACTGACCCCTTTGTTTGGGGGGGTTCATGTGAAATGCTCCCCCACCCCAGGTTGCTGTACTGTTCCCCCAGTACCTGCTGTACTGTTACTCCAGCCTCCAGTTTTTTTTTTTATGTAGAGAGTGAAATATAAGAAAGAATGGAAAGCCAACTAAAGGAAGAAATAGGTATTGCAAAAATTATCTTCCAGGGACTGGCGAGCTAGTTCAGGGATTAAGGTAATTACCTCTCTGGGCTCAATCCTTGGCACCTCATCTGGTTTCCTGAGCAGAAGTGATCCCTGAGTGGAGAATAAGAACCAGGAGTGATCCTGGCAGACCCAGAGCACAGAATTAGGAGTAAGCCCTGTTCACTGCTGGGTGCTTCCCCAAAGCCAAGATACAGTCTTCTTGCCTTTAAAGGATTCTGAGTCTCAGCAGAAGGCAACAAAGATTCTGGGACAGATTTCCCCTCTGAAACAACACGCTGGGCACTGGGCAGGGGACAGAACTTTTACAGCCTTTGCTCACCATCTGTGTAACGAAGTGCTCAGAAATGTTGAAATTGGGTCAGAGCAGGGAGGGTGTTTGCTTTGCACGTGACCGACTTGGATTCGATCCCATAAAGTCCTCTAACCCTCCAAGAATGATCCCTGAAATTTTGCTCCATGGCTTGGAGGCCAGCCACACATGCTAGGGGAAAAGGGAGCTCAGATAGAGAAGGGAGCACCAAATAAAGGTTGTTGGGAGGATTCTCCCAGAATGGGAGAAGCATGCTGAAAGTAGACTATGGACCAAACATGATTGCCACTCAATGCCTCTTTTGAAAACCACAACACCCAAAAGGAGAGAGAGAACAGAGGGGAATGCCCTGCCACAGAGGCAGGGTGGGATGGAGGGGATGAGGGTGGGAGGGATACTGGGATCCGTGGTGGTGGGAAATGGGCACTGGTGGAGGGATGGGTATTTGATCATTGTATAATTGAAACCCAAGCACAAAATTTGTAAGTCTACAACTGTACCTCATGGTGTCTCGCTAATAAAAAAAATTAAAAAAAAAGATCCCTGAGTACAGAGCCAGGAGTAAGCCCTGAGCATAACTGGGTGGATCCCCTAAATCCTATTCCCCCAAAAAAGAATGTTCATGGAATTTGATCAGTGTTCATATGAGACAAAATAAAATCATCCCAGGACAGCCACAGTTGGAACTGGACAATCTCAATCAGCATATCTTATTTTTTGGGGGAGAGGAGGTCCTGCTCTACAGTTCTCAGGACTTACTCCTGCATCTGCACTCAGGGATCACTCCTGGTGGGGCGGATGGGTTGCCGAGGATAGAACCTAGGTTGACTGTGTGCAAGGCAAGTGCCTCCCCACTGTATTGTTGCTCCAACCCCTCAACCTGCATTTCTTTTATTTATTATTTATTTGCTTTTTGGGCCACACCCAGCGATGCTCAGGGGTTACTCCTGGCTCTGCATTCAGAAACCACTCCTGGCAGTGCTTGAGGGACCCTATGAAATGCCCAGAATCGAACCCAGATCCGCTGTGTGCAAGGCAAACGCCCTACCTGCTGTACTATCACTCCGGTCCCACTTTTTTTTTGGGGGGGAGGCCACACTCGGCGATGCTCAGAGCTGACTCCTGGCTCAGGAATCACTCCTGGTGGTGCTCAGGGGACCCAATGGGATGCCAGGGATTGAACCTGGGCCGGCCAATGCCTTACCTGCTGTGCTATCCCTCTGGCACCTCAACTCGCACTTCTAACATTGTTAGAAGAAAAACGCCATGATCCGAAAGAGCATTAAGTGTGTGAGAAGCACGGCCACACCGTGATGTGAACGTGGCCACGGAACTCAAACGGATTAGCTGCTCAGACAACAAGCAAAGCCAACAGCGAAGGTTGCCTCTGGGCTGAGTCTGCTTGGCGCCTGGGGAACACAGGCAGATGCTCTTGGCTTCTGTTCTGTCTTCAGCAGGGTGCGTTAGGGATAGTGGGAACCCCCTGGGGTGGGAAATGGGAG